TATATATATATATATATATATATATATGTATATATATATATATAATATAAATATATACATAGATGATAAAAAATAAATAATAATAAATCTTTATATTTAATTATATAGATGAAAGAAATAATCGGATTGTTATTAATTATTTCAATACAAACTACGGCTGGAATTATTGGATATAATTGTGGATCGCCAAGTCTAAATGTCACTGCATTATTTTTAACAGATGTGAAAAATTGTAATATACCAGTCATTCGACCAAACACCGAAAAAATTTATATGCAATTACTTCAATTATCAAAATTTGAATCAATTAATGTAATTCAATGTAAAATATTAATATCGCGAACTATATTTCATTGTGGTATGCAATCTCACATTTAAACTGTTACAAACTCACAAATATCATACATAACTGACACATCTTTAAATCAATGTAAAAGTATGTATCAAACAAAAACACTAATTATGAATATAAACAATGTTATCAGTGGACTCAAAATTAATGGCACAGTTTCTCGACCGATAACTTTTGCAGGAACAGTAACATCTGAAGGAACATGTACTGGTGCACAATATTTATATCATTATGGAACATAGCAAAATAGTAGTACAAGGAACAATAACAAAGAACTATAACAATTTTACAATTTTATCCAGCACTAATTGCTCTTGAAACTAATCAAATTCATTTAAAATCTGGAACAAATTGTCAATACACTGATAACAATTGTCTAGATATTGAAGGAAAAAGCACTTATTGGGAAAACATACCAAATAATCATTGTAAATTTAACCATTATGACGTATTATTCGGAGGATACGCAGATAAAATAATGGATACCGTAAATGAAAAATTAATAATTATATACTCACTATCAATAGATGATATAACTTTTGCTCTTACTAAAACAGGAGAAGAATTCCTTTGCGGATATTCTCTAATTAAGACAGAACATCCTAAACTATTAATACTAGAAATAAAAAGAGGAGAATCATTTACACAACAAAACAAAAAAACAATTGAAAACATAGACATATTTACTTACATCAACTCAAAATTTATTTATGTGGAAAAACATTCGAACACAAATTAAATACTTATACAGAGACGTACTACAGCAACGATACAACCTCAAACAACAAGTCATTAAAAATGCACTTAGCATCGCTATACACTCACCAGATGAATTCGCTTATCAGTTCATGAAAGGACCAAGATATGACAACAATTTTTGGAGAAGTAGTATATATAATTAAATGCACTCCAGTGGAAGTAACAATATGACACATTAAAGAATGTTACAATCAACTATCTGTATATAAAAGAAATGAAACTTACTTTTTATCTCCATGAACATATGTTTTATTAAAAACAGGGACACAAACATGCAACAAAATCATACCAACCATGTATTATCTAAAAGATACATGGTATAAAATTTCTCCAACACCGGAATTAGGAATACCACCAATGAAGATTAAGCCAATGACCAAGCCAACATGAGAATATAAAAATCCTGGCTCTTTGACAACAAGCGGGATTTATAATAATAAAGATTTAGAAAATTTAAGGGAACACATTATGTTCTCAGCCGAAAATAATAGGATACTTAATATCATGGCACGAGGAGTTACAGGCAAACCAACTAAGCAACAAGGTATATCGCTTTCACATCTGCTGGATGAATACTATAGAAAAAATTGTTAAAAACACCTAGAAGAAAATTTGGGGAAGATTTATAATCTTTGGAAATGCCAGTACAGGATTAATTGGACTGTATTTCTGCATCAGAACAATTAAATTAATCATCGACACTATAATTCACGGATATGCTATTCATTCAATTTATAGCTGGTCAATTCATTTAATTGGAGTACTTTGGGACTCAGTAACAAATTTACTGGTATATCTTGGAAAAGGAACAAACTAAAAGAAGAAAGAAGAAATGAAGAAAATCCAAGTAGTGCACCAGCAACAATACATGAAGAAATACCAATTAGATTATAAACTACAACAAGATACAACACAAACTAACACAAACACTGACACAATTTCAGAAATACAACAAAATACCCGTAATGAAGTACCAAGTCCATACTCAAGGTTATTTTAATATTATATCCGTTATTTTATATAATATTTTTATAATATTTATATAATATTTATATTATTTATATAATATTTTATCTATTATTTTATATAGAAATGAAATTACCGCAAGGAGAAGAAAATAAGAACTTTAATGAATTCTATGGACCAATCGATGGGGTAAGACCTATCGATCATTTCGAACAGTACACGTTCCTTATAGCGAACGTCTGCATGGAAGTAATCAATCCAGAAGACACGATCTACGTCAAACCAATGGACTGAATAGGACAAAAAATGAAGCTGTGTCGATGCTATAATATGTCATGCTGGCATATTATAGAACAACCGGAAAAACACACTATTTTAAAAAATAAACATTTATTATGTTTAGTACGAGAATTAAATCCAGATATAACTTTAAGATGCGAAGCGTGCAGAAAATTTTTATTCCAAAGAAGAGAGGAAGCGCGCAATTGTTGTGATTACATAGAAGAATTTTTACAAGATCCTGAACGAATTCACGCTGAAACCGGAAATAGAAATAATCAGAAGATAAAAAAGTGGGTAGTAGTAGCACACATTTATATAAATTACATTCACATAAATATTCATATAAATATTCATATATATTTTCAATTATATTTTCAATTATTATATCTATTATTATATTTACTATTATATGATATATTCACTATTGTATTACACATATCCATTAAAAAATATACTTATATTAGCTCTCTTACTCTTACAGACACTAGTTAATCACATTCATTTTACACAACACGCTCATACGTGGTATCATTATTTAAGTATACCACATATGACTTAAGAGGAAAAGTGTTACGTACTTCTCTTTAGTTCGATCAAGCGCACCTCCTGTTACCACCTGGAGTACGATAAATGCCCTGGGTGGTCAATGAACAATGGATTGGTAATAAAGTGTCAAAATCTGATCATTGATTATTGCTCATATGTTGTGAGAAGCACCTTTCCCCTTCTGCTAAAAGGTGGTGAGAATCGCACGGGGGTATCTCACCACCTGCCTATAAAACGGGTGCGACTGCCCACAGTTCAGTTTTTCTTTAGACTTTAGCTAAGTCTTCAAGTTAGTTAATCACTCAGAACAGAGTTCAATTCAGCAAATCAATTAATTAATAAAATAAAACTATCACACTAAACAATTTACATAATAATTGGATCACTTAATCTAAAATATTAAAAGTCATAACCCAGCAAACACAAAATGTAACTGCAACGTAATACAGGAGTAACACGT